TAGACTACAGAGGCACCGAAAACTACTATTTTATTGATTGATACGTTAACATAGCAAGAATTACAAACTGCTTAATAAAGTTGTAAGCCACTAACAATATATTCCTAAAATTCAGCACCCACTACTCACTCAATCAAATATCCCTAAAGACTAGGACAAACTCAAAACAAATCAGTTACCAACATAAATAATATAATAAATTAATTTTTCTAATATTCTCCCTTAAACTTAAAGTTTTCAAACATTCAGTTTATCACACACGCCCAACAATGCTCTGAGCTTCTGAAATGCAGCCAGCTTCAATGGCTTGGTCATTATATCGACAATTTGGTCTTCACTTCTGCAGTAGTGAAGTTCAATCACTCCATCCTTTGTGAGATTCCGGATAAAATGAAATTTCACGTCTATGTGTTTGCTTCTTCCATGTAAAACAGGATTATTGGACAATTTGATAGTTGAACTGTTGTCGCAATAAATTGCAGTAGCATTAACTTCCCTTTCCTGCACAAAATTCAGCCCTTCAAGAATCCTCCTAAGCCAAATTGCTTGATAAGTACATGTTGTTGCAGGAACATATTCTGCTTCGGTAGTTGATAGGGTGACTATCTCTTGTTTCTTTGATGACCATGAGATGGCTCCAGGACCCAGCATAAAGACATAGCCAGAAGTACTCTTTCTATCATCAATATCTCCAGCATAATCACTATCTGTATAGCCAATCAGATCTGAATTTTCTCCCTTCTTGTAGAAAATTCCAAAACTAGTAGTACCTCGCAAGTACCTGAGAATTCTCTTTGCAGCCAAGAGATGACTCTCCTTAGGATTTTCCATATACCTGCTAATCAAACTTACAGCATGCATGATATCAGGCCTCGTTCCTGTTAAATACATCAGACTCCCCACGATTTGCTTGTAAAGGTGGTTGTCAACCTTCTTTTCATTCGAATTTCGAACAAGTTTCAAGCCTACTTCAGTAGGTGTAGCAGCACAATTGCAATTTGACATCTGAAATTTGTTCAGAATCTCTTGCACATACTTCTTTTGTGAGATAAAAATGCCAGCTTTTGATTGCACTACTTCTATGCCGAGAAAATAATGCATCTTCCCTAAATCAGACATATCAAATTCCAACATCATAGATTGCTTAAACCTTTCAAACATGCTGAAATCGTTCCCTGTATATATCAAATCATCCACATACAAGCACACGATCAACAATTTTCTTCCTTCCCCACTTTTCACAAAAAGTGTGTGTTCAAAAGGACATTTCTCAAACCCTTCCTTCAGGAAGTAAGCTTCAATTCTATTGTACCAAGCGCGTGGTGCTTGTTTTAATCCATACAAAGCCTTCTTTAGTCTATAGACTTTGTGCTCACATCCAAACTTCATGTATCCAGGAGGTTGATCAATGAACACCTGCTCCTTCAAATTACCATGTAAAAATGTTGATTTTACATCCAATTGGAAGATGGGCCGTGAATTTTGTGCAGCTACAACAACCACCATTCTAATTGTATCATGTCTTGCAACTGGAGCAAATACTTCAGTATAGTCCACCCCAAACTCTTGCTTGTAACCTTTAGCGATGAGTTGTGCCTTGTACTTGTCAACTTCTCCATCTTCCTTGAATTTTGTCTTATACACCCATTTCACACCAATTGTCTTTTGCCTTTGTGGAAGATCAACCAACTCCCACGTGTTGTTCTTCTCAATAGAAGCAATTTCTTCATCCATTGCTTTTTTCCACTTTGGTTCCTTAATAGCTTCTTCAAAAACCATGGGATCACAATCCGTAAGAAATGCAAAGTGTGTTAGTTAACATTCTGATTGATTTACTCCAGTCACCTCATAATCAATCATCCAACCTGGCCTTCTTTTATCACGCCGAGGACGAGGTTCTGAAGTTGATATTGCTGGTGAGCGACTTCTTTTATCACGCCGAGGACGAGGTTCTGAAGTTGATGTTGCTGGTGAGCCAAGAATCTGCACAGAACTATCAGCTGCTGTTTCTGCGGACTGCTGTTGTGTAGACCGGTGCTGCACACTTGAAGTTTCAGGCTGCTCATCTTCAATTTCATCAAAATCCTTCAGTTTCTCTTGATGCACAACAATACTCTTATTCTCTGCCCAAAAATTTTGTTCATCAAATATCACATCACGGCTAATTATAATCTTCTTGGTGTTAGGATTATAAAGCTTATATGCTTTTGACTGATCACTAATACCAAGAAAAATACACTTCACCCCCTTGTCTTCAAGTTTTGTTCTTCTCTGATCCGGGACATGAGCGTAGGCAACACACCCAAAAATTCTGAAGTGATTGACAGCTGGTTTGTTTCCACTCCATGCCTCCTCAGGAGTCATGTTTTGAACAGAAAAGGTCGGACTTCTATTCAAAATGTGGACGCTCCAATTCACTGCTTCAGGCCAAAAAGTTTTAGAGATTCCACTTATATTTAGCAAACTTCGAACCATGTTCATAATAGTGCGATTTTTCCGCTCACAAACACCATTTTGCTGAGGTGAATATGCTGCTGTAAGCTGCCTTTGAATTCCATGATTCTCGCAAAACTTTGCGAATTCATGCGACATATACTCTCCACCACGATCTGTTCGCAGAACCGTAATCACGCATCCACTTTCCTTTTCAATAGACACTTTAAATGTCTTGAAAACATCAAATGCTTCAAATTTTTCTTTCAAAAAATACACCCATGTCTTCCTACTGTAATTGTCAATGAAGGTAATGAAGTACCATTTACCTCCATTCGAGACTGGATTTAGAGGGTCACAAATGTCCGAATGAACCACCTCTAGCACTTTCTTGGCTCTGATGGATTTTCCAGATGGAAAAGAGTCTCGATGCTGCTTGCTGACAGCACAATCTTCACAAATCTGAGTTGGAGGTGCGATTTTCGGAAGACCTGTCACCATATTTTTCTGCTGCAGTGTTTTCAATCCTCCAAAATTGAGATGGCCATAGCGAAAATGCCATAACCATGTTGAGTCTTGAATCTTTGCTGAGAAATAAGAACCGGTGGATCTATGCAGATTTAACGGAAACAACCGATTATCTGTCATTTTAACTTGAGCAATCAACCCTAATTTTTCGTCTTGAACCCGACAAACACCATTCTTGATCAGAATCTCGTACCCTTTTTCTTGAAGTTGTCCTAGACTAATCAAGTTGGTCTTCAATTCTGGGACAAAGAAGACATCAGAGATCTTGTGACTTTTATTTCCCTTGGCCTTGAAAATAATATTGCCCCTTCCAGCAACATTAATTTTGGAGTTGTCGTCGAATTTGACGGTGCTCAGAAAAGACTCATCCAAATCTGAAAATATTGTCTTATCACCGCACATGTGATTGCTGCAGCCCGTATCCAAATACCACAAATTATCTAGAATTTCCTCGGTTACATTGCACACCATCAAGAGAGATTCCTCTTCTTCTCTTTCTGCAAAGTTGGTCTTTTCTCCATTTTGGCAATTCAAGTAAGTTCTACATTCATTCTGATAATGACCATATTTATGACAGCGATAGCACTCAACATTAGATTTTGGGCGACAATTGTTTGAATGATTACCTCCACGATAGCCCATTCGACCTCTTCCTCTTCCTGAGTTGTCTAAATTCTGGTGGTTGGCGGGATTGTTGCTATGGTTGTTGCTACGACCATTATCGCCTCTATCGTAACCGCCTCGACCTCTTCCTCTGCCCCTGCCCCTGTCTCAGCCTCCTCTAAAATTAGAGGTATTTGAATAAGTCGAGGCTTTAAGTGCTTGCTCCTCTTTGTCTTGTTTGCTGATTTTATTCTCATGAACCAACAAGGAACTTTGCAATTCATCAATCGTGAGTGAATCAATATCTTTGGATTCTTCAATGGAGCAAACAACAAAATTGAACTTTGTTGTCATTGATCTAAGAATCTTCTCAATAATGGTCACATCCTCCATCTTGTCTCCATGAATTCTCATTTTGTTGGCGATGATCATCGTTCTTCCAAAGAAATCTGTGACAGACTCATCCGACTTCATGTGTAAAGTCTCAAATTCACTCCGTAGGGATTGAAGCTGCACTCGTCTTGCCCTAGCGTTCCCTTGAAATTTCTTCTTCATTGAGTCCCAAATCTGTTTGGAGGTTTCTTTGTTGAGAATCGTCTCCAAATTTGCTCGATCTATGGCCTGAAACAAGTAGTTCTTGGCTTTAAGATCCTTGAGTTTCAGTGCCTCAAATTCTGCCTTCTGCGCATCTGTTAGAACTGCTCCCTTCACAGGCTCTGTAAATCCGGAGTCAACGACTTGCCAATATTCTTTGGATCTCAAGAAATTCTCCATTAACATGCTCCAATGGTCGTAATGACCATCAAAACGAGGAATTGCAGCCTGCACAAAATTCTCATTGGAAGACGCCATCAATGATGTTTTCGCTCAAATCTCACTGTCTTTCACTCAGATTTTTCTCTAAATTAACTTGCTCTTGAACCTTAGAGTACAGAGGCACCGAAAACCGAAAACTACTGTTTTATTAATTGATACGTTAACATAACAAGAATTACAAACTACTTAATAAAGCTAAAGCTGTAAGCCACTAACAATATATTCCTAAAATTCAGCACCTATTACTCACTCAATCAAATATCCCTAAAGACTAGGACAAACTCAAAACAAATCAATTACCTAACATAAATAATATAATAAATTAATTTTTCTAATAAGTAACACCGATCTATTTTCCTCTTTTTGAATAACAGTAATAAATCTAACCACGCCGACAGAAAATCAACTAATTTAATTTAAACTTTCTATCATGAGTACAGTTTCCTAATTGAAAGGCTTCTTTATAATAATAACTCCATAATAAATCTTCCAGAAACTTTAAGAAGCATCTACCTTGAGCTACCAAAGACCCACTCGTTTGGTGAATTTTACAGATACAGACATAATAACAACACCGATAGATCTATCTTCATTTTTCTGTTTCCTCTGAAACAGTAACAATGCCTAAAACTTTAACTCTCTGGTTTCTTTTCTTCGTCTTTTCCTTCTTTCTTGCCGCTTCTACGGGCTCTACTGCTGCTACTCAAAGTAAGTCTTGAACAAGTTCTTCTCGATTTCAGATTTTGAATCTTGCTGTTATTGAGTTTGATCTGTTATATAGTCGCTTTCTTGAAATGTGATTTCAGTACCTTTACTGTTAATCTTTGTGATCTGTTTCATTGTTCGCTCCTTTGCTTTTGATTTGAAATGAGTTCTTACAATGCCAGCATTTCACAGTAAATTTGTTAGCTGTGACTAGATCTTAGTTGCTGGAGGAAAATAGTTTCATTTTTCAATATTATTGAATCCTGGTTGTTATAGAAGTTTGTTACTATAATTTAGTTGTAAGTTAGTTTTAACTATGTTAACTTATGTTAATTAGTTAGCTGTAGGAAGCATATCGAGTAATAACCACTAAAAACTCATTGTGGGGTTCTGGATTCTAATCAAGATGATGATGTTCAATCTAACAATGTCGTTTTTTGTCTGATGAGATAGGATTTGCGGACTCTTCGTAGTTATATTTTGTACTTGCTAAACAATATCGTTTTAAGGTTTTGTGGTATTAGATCGAGCTTACGCAGGGATGGTCTATTGATGTTTTATGAGGGAATTAATGTCCTTTCTCAACCCTAGAGTTAGGTATTTATAAGAGCCTTTTGAGTTTGTGTCTTAGAATCTAAGAAAGCAGTAACAACACCTTTATCTCTCAGAAGTATGGGATTGGATAGTTAATTCCCCTATTATATTGGAGAACTTGACCCTCCTCTTTGACGGTCCTTTCTGTACCCTTAGTAAATAAGGACACGTTAGTCCCCACGACTTCATCAATGGGCGAGTATTTCAATCAGCGGGCGACCGTTACAGATAAAGGGCGCAAGTTGCAATAAATGGGCGATTAAGATGCTTGTAGGGGCGATATATTGCATCGAATGTTCTTGGAGAACTCTTATGGCGCCTCTTGTGGGTCCTTTGTGAATATACCAGTTCATATTTATTTACATACTTGCAGTCCTTTGTGGATTTACCCGTACATATTTATTTACATACTACTATATGATTAAATTTCTTTTATGGCATTAACAAGTATATATATACTCACTTGTGTGTTTTCTAAATTCACATTTGTGTTACATTGTGAAAACAACTATGCAGCCAAAGTTACTGATAACCCAGCGGACAAGTTAGTTGCTGCGATTAACGAAAACAGAACTGCACACAAGGATTCATCTCTATATGACAATCCCGGGCTTGCATGTCTCGCTCTACAATACATTAAGGCATACCAGGGTGATTGTGGTGCTGTTGGTGGACCTGATGCCAAGAAGCCTCCAGAGTCTCAATTTGTTGAAGTCTTTGCTCCAACCTGTGGTGTTAAGGCAACAACTCTTGCCCCTATAACCGGCCGTTTCTTGGGGTGCCAGACTAAATATGTCCATGCACCGGAGGCATTTTCAGAAATCTTGATAAGAAACCAGAAAAGCTTAGACCTGCTATACAGTAAGAACCACACTCAGGTGGGTGCTGCTGTTACAGGTACAGATGGAGGGTCTCCTTATTTCTGGTGTGTGTTGTTTGGCAATGGAAAACCTAATAGCACCTTTGCTTTTGAGGGTGGTGTGGCTAAAGCAACAAAACCAGGTTGCTATAGTGGAGCTAATGATGAATGTAGTGGTGCTCATGATTGGTCACCAATCAATGTGATGTGGCTATTTGCTGCCTCAGTTTCAATTGCAATGGGTTTTGCATTTCCATTATGATCATGAATTGTATGGATTTCCACTTGAGTGATGTGCCTTTATTCTTTTTTTCTTCTTTCCATTGGTTTTGATTTTGTTATTTATTGAGATACTCATGTCAACTGTATTTCTATCTTTAAAGTTTACCTATGAAATGTGTGATATTGGCTCTTGTAAATTTCTTGTCTAGGAATTCAAGTTTTGCTTTCATTGCTTTACTATTGAAATTCAAGATACATTGTTTTAGACATTCTGCAATGTACCCTAGCCCTGAAAAAGGGGTGAAGTTGTTGTATAAGCTTTTTTGAGAAATTACTTGCAACTGAATAATATAATCAAACTTTCAAATCATATTATACTTGAAAAGATTGCTACTAGACAACAAAAATAATTGATTTAAATAATTATATATGGACCCTGTCTAAAATAATGATCAGTTGATGGTAAAAAAAAATGGTACGATATGGATCAATTTGTGTTTTAATGTTTTATCTAATATTTAGGATTATGTTTATCCAAATCTTTAATTTAAAGATGTTTTCTTTTCTTATAGGTTTTTTTAGGTTTTCTTCTATTTCTAGTTATTTGATCATCTCTATCTAATTTATTTTCATAAAAATTTCTCTTTAGTTTGAGTAGTACCTTTATATTAATATATTATGTAAAATTCTCAAAGTCCTCTTTCATTTTAACCACATAACTTTATATTTAATCTATCGCTTTATATTTCTCTATCTTTTTCTAGTATGTGTCGAAGATATTTAATCTGAGTGACATGTAGGGTGATATGATCACTAACTTTTACCTTTAAGTTAGAAACGTTTATTTTTTAGTTGAATTTACATTACATATATCATGTCGCACTTCTATTCATGCAAAAATCATGTGTTTTTAAAATTTGTCTCCAAGTCTTCAATCAATCATTTAAATTCTCTTTCTCTTTCGACTTTTCATGTTGGACTATATTAACTAAAAACTATATATATACATCTCAGACTCTTGTATGTATTCCGTAAATACATCTAAAGTTAGAGTTAAAAATAAAGATTTAAAGTTGAACATTTATGCAAACTGTAGTGGAGAAATCATCTTTCTCTCTGAATCTGCACATTAGTCGATATCTTTTCAATACAGCTATTGGAAAAGGAGTATGTTAGAGGGTCTAAAAAAATTCTGTAAAAAGTCTATAGAATTGTTTAAGATACTAAAGAAAATTGAGAAGGTGACTAAAACATCACCCATTGTACCTAAAAATGCCTAACATTGATTTTACTATACTCATCTCTCATACATATTATGTACTTTATTTATTCCGAACGAGCATGGAACTAATAGCTTATGTTTGAATTTTAACAATTGTAGAATGACTAGGAATGTTTGTTCTTTTTGCTCATGATTTTAGCATACCTTTTATCACTAAGATGAGTTTGATATTTTACTTAACAATCACATTTAAGTACTTTAGCCAAATTTTATCAAAATTTGATCAGATATTTACTTCTCTCGACATTGAGGTTACAAGATGACTATCCATTTTTTCACAAAATATGGTACAAAAGAGATTCTTACACACAGAAAATATATCACAACACAGTTTTTGAGCATCACATGACCTTACAGAGATGATTTCCATTTCAAAATAAGAATAAGAACAGTAATAATCACAAAAATACCACCTGAAGACCCGCAGACTCTATGAATCCAGTCACGATCAAACACAGCGAACCTCTGGTCCATGTAAGCTGATAAAGCTATGCATAGAATCAATAAAAAGAGCAGCAAAGGCAACCAGACAGAAACGTTTATGGGCTGTTCGTCATCTTCCAAATCACTGTCACTCTCTGGCTTGCGCTCCATATAAAGAGGAGAAGCCACGGCTAGAACCACCAAACCTATGGTGGCTAGTCTCTCGTATAATGAAAATCTGCTTCCTCTTCTGCAAGCTTCAAGTTCCATTCACTATGCTATGATTTTTGAGTGACCTTGGTCCTCAGTTCTCTTCCTGTGGGATAGCTAATGTTTGTTTTTGGTAGAAATAAATATGGTGGAACTGTTAGGGAAAAACCACCACCATAATGTTAATATGGTGATTGGAATCCTACTTTTTCAAAGCTAGGTGGTAAGGACTAGAACTCACATGCATGTTTCTGAAGGCTACTTCAGTTTCTTTTTTATACTTGTTACATTGCATGGATTTGATTATGAATCAGATTCCCTACTCACAAATCATAATATTCTGCTCCTGCTTAAATTCATCTGGTATCTGATGCTGTCTGTTTCTGCAATGAACGTGCCCGCGAAAGTAATTAATGTAAAGAAATACACAATCTTCAGACAAGGTTCTTTTACAGTGAGCAATTCACTTTAAAGAGTAAAGTAAATAATACCAATGGTTGATATCATATGTCCGTGCATAACAAATCATGTGTAATTGCGAAATCTAGCTTATTCAAGGGTGAAAAAATTGTGTATCAGCAGTTGGACAGTAGGAGAATTGAAGGCGAAAAGAAAAGGTATTGATATGATTATAATAAATTCAGTTGCCTAGAACTATGATAGCTGAAGTTACACAGAACCCTATTTAAATAAATAAACAGGCAGAATACAAACGAAAACATTATGATATTCTAATTTGCAGTAGTGGAGGTCTTTGACCCGATCCCTTGAAGCCGTCTCATCCATTTGTTCTGTGAAGAAGTAACATCGGTAGACTGTAATCTTGTTTCAGGACCTTGTTTAGATTGTTCTGTGATTGGAAGCTCAGCAGGGAGTGCTGCAGCAGTGCTGGTGAAGGCATTCAGGACAAGGAATGCTAGGATGGGAGAGAGATCCAATCCTCCAATAGGTGGGATAAGTCCGCGGAATACGTTCAGATACGGATCACATACGGTGCTGAATTAAACAAAAATCATTTTATTCAACACTCAGAAATTAGATCATATCATCATATGCATAAGAGATGAAATAACAGAATCAAATGCTTTGGTAATTTAAGGCAACTTATTATATTCTACTTGCATGGCACTGCTCAAGTACTCTCAAATGGAAATGGATTCCCTCAGTCAAATAGTGACTGCAACAATATTTTAACATCATTGTTTAACAATGTTTCCAATTTATTTACCGAGCTTAAAACCTAAACCATCTAACTTCAATCAAACGGCTTCCAAATCATCGACAACAGGGTTCTCTGACTGCAGAAAATCCAGGTCCCTCTCTAAAATAGCATATAGTCCACAACCCAACACCTTCCAGTAGAGTTCTGAAGTAATAGATCTTACGCGCTCATTTTTACCTTTCTCAACTTATATTAAACCCCTATAACATATAAGTCATAAGCACCATATTTTTCTATCTGAGTATAGATTCCCCTAATATCAAATCATTACATTTCATCAACAAAGTATCATTCAAAATGCACTTTTATCCCCTCATGGAACATAAGATTTGGAGTTTATATTGATTCTCCATGTTCCCATAAGAAACTCCCTCCAACCAACAACAACAATCAAGCCTTATCCCACTAAGTGGAATCGGCTACATAGATCAACTTCCGACATAATGTTCTATCAAGAACCATACTTCTATCAAAATCGTTAATATGAAGATCTTTCTTAACAACTTCACTTATAATTCTTCTAGTTCTTCCTCTACCTCTAACTAATTGATTCCTATCCATCTTATCTACTCTCCTTCCTTACAACCGAATCTACAGGTGTCCTATCCAATGCTCAAACCACCTCCCTCCAACCATTCTAGATTTTTCAGATTCTTGAGCACATTTTTGACACTAAATATAATAACTCTAAGCTCTAAAGCATATTCCATCAATCAATATATACATCCACTTCATAATTGGCACATTGTGGCCAGGCTAACAAATGAATAAAAGAATGTGTCATTCACCTGAGAGGAGAAACGATAGCAGGAGGAGCATTGGGAAACCAGGTAAGAACAAGCCTACAAACAATCAAAGTATTGTAAAGGTTCAAGAAATTCTGAAGTCCATTAGCCACCACTAACCCAGCCACTGAATCTCCAGGCAAAACAGCCGCAAAATTGTGATGACTATTCACCAACCTCCTATTCCTGTAGTTACTGCACCGAATCTGATAAACCACAAAAAAAAATCAACACTCCCTGTACCACTACAGTATATATAACCAAATTACAAAAATTAGTGGTACATTTATTACCTGAAAGCATGTGTCATGGAACTGAGACGAAAGAGAGAGTAGTTTGTTTAAGATAGGGTTTTGAGAAGCGAGAGAGTGGAGAAACATGGAACACTGATCAACTGCGTTGGAAATGGAGGTGGGGAGTTGGGGAGTGGGGAAATTGGCGATGGGGAGTTTGAAGAATGGGAGTGCGATTAGAAATGGTGATTGGGGATTTGTTGAATGGAACGTGATGTTGTTGTTGTTGTTGTTGTTGGTTTCTGAGTGGGTAGCATTCAGAGCCATTGTATGGAGGTGAAACAGGATAACCCGAGGCCAGGCTATGGGTCCTGAGATAAGATAACTATCTAAAGAAGATAGTGAGCAGATAGGAGGAGTAGTATATTCGCCCAACGCCCACCCACAAACTATGGCTTGTTTTTTTATTAAACAAAAATGAATGTCGTTTCTTTTCATTAAAACAATTTGTTACTGTAACATTTTTTAAATATTTTTAGACCTTCCATAGCTATGTTTATATACAATCAAAACTCTTTTTTTCTTTTTCTTTTTATTTTAAATTAAAACTATTTTTTAATAGGTTTAATTTAGGATGATGTTAAGAAATGTGATTGAGTCTAATTTAAATTTAAAATCAGTTGGTAGAGTGAGGATTATCTGCATTTATAAATACATGTTCAATCTATATATTATATGGTGTGAGATTCTTAAAAAATGACTTAATTGGTAATTCATTGAATTTTTTTTCAAGAAATGTAAGTTCCCACCAAAATTTATACATATAGTTTCATCACTATATGTCATCTCATCTGCTATTTATAAAATTAATTGAAATGAGAGTAAAAATATTTTTTTATTCCCTTAAGAGGTAAAAAAGCAATGAGATGGTATGGCTTGATCGGTAATTAGCAAGTGTACTAATTTTCTAATGTAGTAATAAAAGAAAATTTTTTTAAATGCCAATCTCAAAGACTGCTTGAGAATACCGAGTTTTAAGTTCATTTCAATTAAACAAATATGAGTAGTATGTTAGGGATGGTGTATGATCTGATTCAGTAACAACTCTGAATTAACACTGCAACAACTTATTTTAACTAATAGATTACTAGTTCTTTAGGGTATTTACTCTTAAATATTTAGTGAAAAAAACCTTTAATCATTCAACTTAATTCATATGTCCATAGAGAATTACAGTTGAAATTAAGCATTTCAATATCAAAGAATATTCTGGCGTCTATAGGGTATCCCTAGTCCTAGGTGATATATACTATATAATAATCTAAAGCAAAGCATTAACAATGGTGGTCCAACCTAATTGTTAACGTAAACCAAACTCGTTTGTCTGACAGGACAAGCATTAAGAACAGCAAAAGATTAAATCAGTTATGTAAAAGAGATTTTTATTGCAATAATAATATCATAGTCATTACATATCCAAATCAGGGACACCCCATAGCATTGGGGTTTAGCTACTCATAATGTTTGATAAAAAGAAAATACAAGATGTAGACATTACAGTTACTAGGATGAAAGTGAATCTTCAATTGCTTCCGATCATGAGAATCTTCCCTTCACCAAAGCTTCCGTCTTCTCCAATTTTTCTCTGTAAGTTTTTTATCGTTTCAAGAAGAAGTCCCCAAATGAAATCCAAAAACTGCCTAAATAGAAAAAATCTCCCCTATTTTCTATTCCCCTGATGACTCGGATTTTATTTCACAATAAAATCAGATATTACAATAGGCAAATCTCGCCGAAAAAGAAAAGATTGAAAAATCATACGCCTGTCTGCTACGACTAGTAACTTGTGCTACGGGTGGTCGTAGTGTCTGCTACGGCCAGTAGCTTGTACTACAGGCGTCCGTAGCAGACCACTGGAGTTGGTTTGCACTTTGAAGGAATTGGGGGCTCTGTCTGCTATGGCTAGTAGCACGTGCTACGGGTGGCCATAGCAGACCAATGTCTCTATGCCTTTTTCATCTAAAAACTAGGGTTTTTGTTGCACCTTTGTTATGGCCCGTAACACACACTACGGGTGGCCGTAACAGGTCATTGTTCCTTGGGTTTTTTTCGCGATTTTTCCAGTTTTCTGTCGACATCCTTCTTGAATACATATTTAATCCTAAAAATATTAAAATAACATAAACAAGTATAAAATGCAGTAAACAAAAATAAAATGCAAATAAAACATGACAAGATTAACGAAAACTAACAGTAAATAACAGCATAAAAACCACCGATCATCTATTATTATTTATATGATGAGACATTCATACGTTCTTGCTGACCAGGTTAAAATTGAGTACACGAAACCAAATCATGCTGGCAAGTATGAATCCTTAATCTTTCATCTCTTATTTTTACAAATGCCCCTCTTCTTTTTACACAACCTATATAGAATAAGATCAATGTGTTATGCATTGCTCAGGTATTTTTTGCCAAACGCATTGAAAAATATTAACAGACAAAAACACGTGTTTTTTCTAAGATTACTGAATTTTTTACCCAAATAACCCAACTTTTCAAAAAAAATCTCAAAATAACCCACCTTTCAAAATTATTCCCAAAGTACCCCAGTTAGGGTTTGGGATTACACAAGGGTGCCAGATGGATTGGCGACACCTTGTTAAGGCTATAAGGGAATCACCAATTAGATTGGAGACTCCTCATGCAGTCTCCAATCCAATTGGTGACTTCGTGTTGAACTTACAAGGGTGTCGCCAATTCATCTGGAGACCCCTTGTATTTTGAAATTTTTTTTTCTATAAATAAAGGTGTTCTGATCATTTACTTCCACATTTCATCTGATATCTTTGTTCTGCTAATAACATGTATTATCGTCGGAGGGGAAAAGTCGTTTATTCGAGAGAGAAGCCTCTGATGGACATGTTGTTTTAAAACATACAAAGTTTCAATCAACTTAAGAGGGAGCTGAATCGGTGGTTGGAAGGAGACATTGGTGAAGGGGAAAAAATTTGTAGTATCGAGAGACTTGATTGGCTGCATGGATGGGTTTGTGTTAAGACAGACAAAGATGCGAGGGAAGTCATGTTTGGACCGAATGAAATTAGTTTGATTGTTGTAATTAGTTAGGAATGTCGTAATCACCTAGGTAATGTTTTATGTTTTATGAAATTAGTATGTGTCATGTGTTGTTAGTCTTGTTTGTTGTTAAAATCATTGTGACAAAGACTCATCAATATATGAAAATACGTGGTTACAACAAATGAAACGATAAGCTAAATCATGATGCAGATGTGCCTCCGACATTGGGACATTTTTTTCGGTTGTGTCCGGGCTGACGACATATACTGCACAATCTTATCATTTTATCAACCGTATCCATTTCGGTTCTTAAACGCTTACTGTTTGGGCATCCCTTTTTCTTTCTTCTCATGTCATCGTTGTGCCAAACTATGTTACCTTGGTATGGAGGCCAATAATCCTCTATTGGTAGCACTGCAAAGCCTTCGCTGTATACATTCATAACATTAATCGCCTTGTAAACATCAGATAGATAGTCATAAGCATCCTGACGAGCATGTGCGCATGCCACAATGACATGTGAGTAAGGTACACGAAAGGCCCGGTACTTTCCACAATCACACCAACATCCGTTTAGTCTGACGGCATAGGATAAATTGGGTCTTCCCTCGTTATGGTCCATTATTTCTTGTACACTGAATGTTTTCCTATGACGACCGAAGATTGTAACTGCATGTGTGTTGGCTTTGATAGTATCCTTTTTCATCAATTTCATAATGCTTTCACTAAATACCTGACCGGACGTTAACACTGCACTCCATCTCTCGCCTCTTGTTGCGAAAAGTGATGTCAACCTATAATATGTTGATCTCACCAAAGCAATGATTAGAAGGTTTCTAATTCCTTTGAATACCCACCCCGTTCATGGATTCCACAAGGTTTGTCGTCATGTGGCCCCAACGACATCCACCATCAAAAGCCCTTGTCCACTTTTTGAGTAGAATGTTGTCTAACCAGCTTCCTGCATCTGCATTTGACATCCTAATTTCGTTAAGGTAGTATTGAAATGTTGGTTGAGTTAGAGCATACCCGGCATTCACAATTTGTTTGCGAAGGTTCTTGTCTTTGATTTCACGCATGATGTTTTGTGTAATATGTCTAATGCAATACACATGGATATAAGGAGGATTATGCCACCTGTTATCATGGTTATTGTACGCACTCTCTATAGCAGTATGCCTGTCTAAAATTAAAGAGCGGTTGGCTTGTGGAGCGACATGTGTTCTGAGATTCTTAAGGAAGAAACTCCAAGCATAAACAGTCTCACTCTCAACCAGAGCAAAGGCTATAGGAAAAACATTATTGTTACTGTCTTATGCAACTGGCATAAGTAAGGTGCCCTTGTATTTTTCGTAGAGCCATGTTCTATCAATTTGAATAACAGTTTTGCAGAATGAAAAACCTCTTATGCATGGTTGAAACAACCAAAAAAGATAGTGAAATATGACATTTCCATCAACAGTTGTTCCATCTGGCCTACATGCAGGCACTGTATGCATGATTGCAATAGTTCCTGGTGTGTATGTCTTTAGAGCTACCAAAAATCACGGTAATTCTTTGTATGAATCCTCCCAGTTTCCAAAGACTTGTTCAACAGCCTTTGTCCTTGCAATCCACGCCTTCTTGTACTGTGGAGTATAATTATATTGCGTTATGATATGAGAGATTATTATACTCACCTTGACTGAAGGATCCTTGTTAACAAGTGGAAAAATGTCTTGACATATCAATTCTGCACTTAGCTTTCGGTGATCCTAAACAATATTTGTGGCAGTGCAACTGTGAGGTGGCTATATGGAAGATATCATCCAAGAACGCTTCTCTTGCTGTAAGATGCAGCAAGCCGAAACTTGCAAAGTGGATTACGACAAATAATGACATACCTTCTCGAATCAGTTCGCTGTACATTGAAATCAACAGAGTTATCCATGTGATATTTTTAATGAATCGCACACAATCCGCCTTAGTACGAAACTGGTATCCAACTTTTAACTCATTCTCTGACCGTCTCTACGAGTTATGAAACATATCTGCAGATATCTCATCGTCTTGTAAGTCCAAGTCTGTCATATGTTGAGGAGGATAGTATGCATGACTTGGAGGTATTGGTACTTGTTCTTCATCTTCAACATTGTCGTTCAACAATTCATCTACCAGCGTCTCACTTCCTTCTTTTTCTGCATCAACAATGTTGACCTCTGGTTCTGTTTCATCTAAGTATTGTGATTTAGTTTCATCTGAGT